ACTGGATTCATCTCAAGCCTAGGCTCAACTGGCCCTTTTGTTTATGAAAACAGAAACAAGGAGGGGACACTGTAGCTAGTAGGAGGGGACTCAGAAGAGGAGGGCCAGTCTAGCTCCTAGCAGGCTTGTCGTGGCTAAACTGAACTACAAAGGAGGGTGGCGGCAGGAACCAGGAGAGTGATCCTGCAGAGGAACTCTGTAAACCGATTTCAGACTTTCACAGAGGTGTTTCGGGCTGAACCAATTAACCTGACGCGAATCAACACTGAGCTGGTAAGAGGCTTGCAATTAGGGACGGGCGGCAGGCAAAACATTGCTGCTCTCATCCGTGGACTTGGACGACCGATGGGTAAAAGAGATGAACCCACGGCTGGAGAAATGATCAGTGGTTTAAGTGTGTTCTACTCTTGTAGAGGACCCAAGTTTAGTTCTCAGCATGCACATCGGAAGGTTCCTATCATTCCAGCCCCAGAGGTATCCGAGTCCCCTGCCCTCCTGGGGTGCCTGCACTTCACATGCATGTACCCTCACACATCAACATAATTCAAAATAAAAATAAAACTTAAAAAAGAAAAGATCTGAACCCACTCTCACCAGAAGCCCTCTTTTTTTTTTTTTTTTTCTTCGAGACAGGGTTCTTCTGTGTAGTTTTGGTGCCTGTCCTGGATCTCGCTCTGTAGACTAGGCTGGCCTTGAACTTACAGAGATCTGCCTGGCTCGGCCTCCCAAGTGCTGGGATTAAAGGCGTGGGTCACCACTGCCCGGCACCAGGAACCCTCTTAGCCTATGGCCCCAGCCCACGTACCTGCACAACAGCCTCGGTCTTACATGCAGGGCCTAGCTGGTTCCTGCTGAGAGTGTCCATGGTCCTGGGCTTCTAGAGCTCCTGGGAACATAGTAAAAAGCAGGTAAGTGGGAAGGTAAGGGATGAAAAAGGAGAGAAATGGGTTCTTTAACTTTTTTTTTTTTTTTTTTTTTTTTTTTTGGTTTTTCGAGACAGGGTTTCTCTGTGTAGCTTTGCGCCTTTTCCTGGAACTCACTTGGTAGCCCAGGCTGGCCTTGAACTCACAGAGATCCGCCTGGCTCTGCCTCCCGAGTGCTGGGATTAAAGGCGTGCGCCACCACCGCCCGGCTAACTTTTTTTTTTAATTAAATTTTTTCGTTGGTGTTTTGCCATGAGTGTTATCCCCTGGAATGGGACATGAGTGTTATCCCCTAGAATGGGAGTTACAGACAGTTTTGAGCTGCCATGTGGGTGCTGGGAATTGACCCCAGGTCCCCTGGATGAACAGTCAGTGCTCTTAACCTCTGAGCCATCTCTCCAGCCCCAAGAAATGGGTTCTCGTGGCAGGGTTCTCAGGGCAAAGCCAGCACCAGCCACTGTTATCCCCAGTACACACACATATAGGAAAGGTGGAGAAAAGCTAAGGAGCTTAGGGGAGGAGGGAACAGAGGGAACACATCCTCTGCCTCCATTCAGTTCCCAGCTACAGCACGACACTACACCATGCCAGTCCTGATCCTTGCCACCACAAGCACAAACAGCCCTATAGATCTAACCCACGTTTCTACGTTTTCTTGCTCTACACTTCCCAGATCCCAGGACTTAGCCGCAGAGGACACCTGCCACCCTATCCCCCAGCCATCTGGAGCCTTAAACAGAGCAAGCAGGGCCTACCAAGAGAAGAACAAAGTCCAAGGGAGCCCCTCCAAGGACACTGATAGCGGGAGACCAGCCAGGTGGGTATCAGGGCTGATCTGAGTGCAACCCCTCCCCCAACCTTTCCTTGTCCTCCTATCCCTTTGTCTTTTTCCCCAAGGGTCTTAATAGGATGTTTTCTTAAAGGAGACGGAGAGGAGAAACCCAGACATTCCTGTCATGTCTGTATGTCTCAGCTCCTGCACTTTTCTTTCATAGAAAGCTACCTCTCTTCATATAATCAGCTATGAAATCTCAGTACCAGGTGTCAAAGACTCTGGGCTCTTCACTGGCAGAGTCCAGAACCCAGACTTGAATCCCCTGCCTATCTATTACACCTCGATAGATCTGTCAGTTACATTTTTATAAAGTATTTGAAGACCAAGTAGTATACTAGGCTGCACCTCATGCAAAGCACTCTGGGAATGGCACCTATTGAGAGCTGTGTAGCTCTGAAGTCTGGGCCACTGACCACCCCACTACCCCCTCCTCGTTCCCAGGTTTATGATTTTGGTATCTGACCTTTGTGTATGAACATGTTGCCACCTCATCAGGGTTTCCTTCCACTTTCTCCCCCAGCTATCTATCAGACAGGTGGCTTGCAAAGGAAGTCGAGACGGGAGCCAGCTGACATTCCAAGGAGTGTCGTCTGCTCCTGAGAGTGGATCTCTCAGGCCCTCAGCCATGGAGTTACTAAATTTACCCTTCCCACTTCCACCCTTCCTGGCCTGGCCTTCATCACCTCTGTCACCATTTCCACCCAAGTTGGCAGAAAAGAGGCAGGCACAGTGCCTGGGACCCACCCCAGGACTGCCTGGGAAGAGGGAAGACAGAGGTCACTAACCCACACAAAGGCCCACACTGGCCGAGCTGCTCTCCAGAAGCACGGGCTGCAGGGAGGGTTCTAAAGACAGAGTGCTATAGGTCCGTCTGTCTCTTTTTCTCTTTCTTTCCTTTAAGATTAAAGGCATGTGCCACCACCAGCCATCTCCAGGGCTTCTTGTATGCTTGGGAAACATTCGGCCAAAGGAGCTATAACCCCAGGACCCCGGGTGGTTTTTGTTGTTGTTTTTTTGAGACAGGGTCTCAGTCTGTAGCTATCCTAGGACTTACTATGGAGCCAGGCTGGTCTAGAACTCCTGTTTTTCCCCTCTCAATTGCTGGGTTTACAGGCAGGGGAGCCACCAGGCCTGGATTGGGTAAGTCAGGAAACTCTTCTCATTTGAGTCAATCTTCTATAAAAGCAGAATGATAATAATTAAAGAAAAATTAGCCAGAACAGGGCTTGTCTAGAACAGTGCTTCCCTGGGGCTAGGAGTAGAACAGAGATAAACTGAATAGGCACAAGATTCTTGAGGCGCTGTGTGCAACAGAAACGTTCTTTTTGTGTGTGAGTGGGGGTGTGATGTGTGCACATGTGTGTCTAGGAACATGTGTGCAGAGGCCAGAGGAAGATATCAGGTCTCTGCTGGGTCTCTCTCTGAGTTATTGCCTTGAGTCAGGGTATCTCACTGAACTAGGCTGGTGGCCATCAAACCCCAGCAATCCTCCTGCCTCCTCCCCACCCCCAGCTCTGGAGTTACAGACACTGGGCACCTGAGCTCAGGTCTTCATGTTTGACCAGCTAAGCCATCTTCCTAGCCTGCAACAGGGATGTTCTAAAATTAAGATTCAATGATGGTTGCGTAGCTCTGTAAATATGCTAAAAATAATTTCACACTTAAGTTGGGTTGATTTTATGCTACACAGATTATTCCTCAAGAAAGCTGTGAAAAGAGAGATTGGGAGCTGGGGAAATAGCTCTTGGGTTAAGAGCACTTGTTGCTTTCCCAAAAGACTGGAGTTCTGTTCCCAGCATCCACAATGGTGGATCACAATTGTTGGTACCTCCAGTTCCAGGGATCCCATGCCCTCTTCTGGGCTCCGTGGGCTCCAGACACATACCCGGAGCACAGGTATACATGCAAGCAAAACACCATATACACGAAATACAAACCTAAGTTGTTTTAAAAATTAAAGACTATCTGAAGATCCAGGCAGTATACGAAATCACACTGCATGAACCACCAAGCAATCTAAAAGTCCAAGCTATGATCAGCTGTGGCAGGCACTCAGGTCTGGGCCTCGGTCTCCTCATCTGCCACTCTGCAGTATTTGTCTATCACCCTGTGAAGCACACACTTACACTGAATAAATTCAAGTGGAGATACAGACTGTAAAGGGATTGGGTTAGTGAGGGAACAAGAGTGGCTCTAGCAGAGTCAGAAGGGCATAAATAAGAAGGTGAAGTGAGAGGGAGAGATAAGGAGAGGTGAAGAGAGAAGATAAGAAACCACACAGCAATTGGAAGGTGCGAGGCTATGGCCTCAGCTCAGAAACCTAACCCACGGCAGAGGAAAAAGACACCAGACCAACCTGACCCAGGCTCAGAAGACGCTTTGACATGGGGATCTATCTCACTATGGCCCAGGCGCCCTCTTCTCTGACCCTATTCCCATGTTCCTTGGAGAAGCAGTACTGTCCCCTGAGGCCCTCCACTGGCTGGCTCGCTATGGTCCCACCGGGAGGCTATCTATATCTGGGGCTGTAATTACCCACTCTGTAGGGCACTGCTCGGGAACTCAGCTGTGCCCAGGTGCTTCCCCCTGCCCCCCAAAAAAAGGCCTTTGTGGTACAGCTTCCACTGCTGAGGAACGGGCCTGGCTCTCTGCAACCCTCCTGCACCCAGATACAAATGCCCAAGCGCCTCCTAGGTGGCAGGGGTCTTGCTGTGTGAATATTATGAATTTAGGGAATGATGCCCTAGAGTATCAGGCATTGGGACTCCCACAGGTAACCCCAGCCCCATCCTCAAAGTGCCAACAGCCCACAACACTGACACCTGTTTGCAGGTCTCTGCACCTGAATAACGGTAATGGGAGTCCTGGGGAGAGTCAACCAGCTCTGAACCAGGAGGCAGTGAAGAAAGGCCCTGGGCTCCCGAAGCCCAAGACGAAAGGTCCAAAGCCAGCCTAGGAGCGAAAGGCCAGGCCCCCCGCTCTCACCAGGGTCCCACAGGGCCAGCCAGTAGATCGCAATGGGCAATGCACAGCTGTAAGCCAAGGCCTTTCCGGTCACAGTGACTTTTGTCTTCCCTGCTCACATCCGCCCTCGAGGAAGGGTCACCGGCAGAGGAAGGAGTCCGGACAGGAAGGAAACTGAGGCTGGGCGGGCAGGTTACCCAGGGAGGCGGAGCGAGAGTGTCCACCGACCAGGCGTGTAAAGAAAAAATTAGAAATAAGAAAAATAGGCAGAGAGAAAAGGCAATCTGTGGAAGCGAAGAGGCGCAGGAATTTGGAGTGTGAAGTCAAGAGCCCGGAGATGAGGAATAACGAAAGCTGGCTAGGAGAGCTGGGTGTGGTGGTGCATGCCTGTAAACCTAGTTCTCACTACTCCGGATGTGGCCACAGGAATATCAGGCATTCAAGGCCAAGCCAAGGCCGGGGCTACATGAGACCTTGTCTCAAAAAAATGACAGCAATGCTGGGGACGAGGCAGTGAGCTCAGAGGAGACTGTGGTCCCCTAGGGAGAGGCTTAGGGACCCCCAGAAGCACGCGCGTGAGTGCGCGTGTGCGACTAAGGATATGGTCCCCAAGTGGAAGAGGTGGCAGAGGAAGAACTATGCGCTTCAGATCATCTTGGAGGGGGAAACCGTGGGGCAGGAGAGAAAAGAGGGAGCCCTAAACGCGGGAGAGGAGAGACGTGGACAACCCAGGACAGAGAAGACAATTAGGAAGAAAAAGTAGTTGGGGTGGCGGGTATTGGGGAGAGATGCTGGAAAGGTGCACTTCTCCAAAACCCCCCAAACCCGCAGGCTTCTGCATCTCCGCACTCCAGAGGCCTGCCCCTCCCAGGGCCACCGGGTGGGACAAGGCTGCAGTGTTGGGTTGCCTGCTGCGGCTGCCCCGCCCGCCCAGTCCGGGGACAAGCGGCCTTTCTTCAGCAGGGCCGGAGAAGAAGTCGCTTGTTTGCATGGCAGGGAAAGGGGGCAGCCTCGCAGCTGCAGGAAGGGGGCTGGTGCGTGTCCGCGGGAGGTTGCGTGTGAGTGGAGCCGCCTGCTCCGGCAAAGCTTGCCCGCGCGTGGAGTTGCCTAGTGTGAAGTGTACCGAGTGCGTGGTGAAGTCGAGGCTCACGTGAAAGATTGCCGTGGGCACCGGTGGTGTGACACTGAGCTGTCGGTGTGTAACGTGTCTTGCGGGTGCACGGAGGTGAGGCGTGGGATGCCGTGCGTGGGAGCCCTCGAGCGGATGCTCGAGTTAGTGGCCAGTCTTGTTTGTGTGACCGCTGTGGGGGTGAGCCCAAAGTGTGATGAGTCAGTCCCCCCGGAGTCTCCGGGACCGCTGAGCTAACGGGCCCAGAATGCAGCCCCACCCGGGCTCCCTGGGTCCCCCACCGGGCCGTGCGGTCGCCGGCCAAGTCCCCGCTGCGCTGGCCTGGGCGGAAGCGTCCGCGGCGCCTGGGCAACCCCGCTCCCCGCGGCCCCACCCAGCCGCCTGCCCGCGCTTCCCCGTCCCGGGGGAGCCGGATGACGGGGCTCGGCCTCTGTGGGGGAACTCCGCGCCGCATTTGGATCCAGACCGCGGAGGCGGAGCGAGAGCCTGAGGCTCAGTCATCCCAGGTCGCCTTGGACGCTCCGGGGACCCTCAAAGACACGGGGGTCCTGGAGGAGTGCCCGGGAGGCCCTAGATGTGGAAACCCCAGGACCCCTCCCTGACTCCCGCTCCTCAGAGCTGGACTCCACATCTTTTGAGTCCATCCAGGAAGCTGGCCCTGGGACAAGAGCGGAGACGCCCAGGGGATCCCCCTTCCAATGGTCCTCCTGTTGTGGAGTGGGGCCGTGTGGGATGCTGTAGGCAAGTACACGCGCGCGTACTCCACCCGAGACTCGGCGAGTGTGGGACACTGGCCGTCGGGGTGCCCACAGGAGACTCGAGATCCCGCAAGCTGGAGGGAGGGGGTCCCTCCGCAGGGTACCAGGGCCCCCTCTGGCGGTGGCGCTGGCAACGACTCGGGAGGGCAAAAGCAAATAGTTCGGAGAGCCGCCCGCGGAGCCCCTTCCGCCGACGCACTCACCTGGCACGGCCCCTCTTTCACCCTTCTACCCAGCTCTCTGGGCCAGAACTGATCTCTGGTCCCGGGGACGGTCCCTTCTGCCAGCCCAGCCATATACGGCGAGTGGAACCCCAAGGCGTAGTGGGAGGGGCCCGCTTACCTTGTGGGGAGTTGGGGGGACACCGGTCCCTTTGCCCGGCTGGGCCGCGGCGCCCTCAGGCTGGGCGAGGAGGGCACTGTTGCTTTTCCACAGGAGCCAGCTGAGGAGGAGGAGGAGAGGGAGCCTGTCCCGCCCCCCTCCCGCGAGTCCCCGCCCCCATCCCGTCCTGTCCGCCTGGCCAGCTAGAGAAGACGCCCTTGTGGGGCTGGAGCCCAAGGCCCCCACCCAGCCTTTCCCACAGCAGCACCTCCCCCGCCTGCACAGCGCCCGCTTTGTTCATCTGTACAGCTGGGCTTTCCTCCACCACCGCGGCCACCACCGCACACACCCTCGCCCCCTGCCCTCCCCTTCCGACCCTCCTAGACCACCCTCCGCTCTGGGCCTCGAGGCTCTACTTCATTACCCACTCCTACCCAAGATGTTTGAATCTTCCACTTGACTCCCAGTGAGCCCTACCACAGTCCTACCCCAGACTCTCAACGTCTCCTTCAGAACATCTACTGAGGGCACCCAGGTCTTTCCTTTGTCAGCCCCTCCCCTTTCCTATTCCAAGCCCCATCATACAGAGCTGTAGGTAGAATTCATGACTGCACGCCAGGCTTCAGAATGTAACCAGAAGGCATGTTAAAGTGTGGTTCAAACGACACGACCTCGGAAAGCTGAATGGAGTCGTCCCCATAGATTCCCTCCATCACAGACCTGTTGGGTTACAGACAGCTGGAGGCAGGGCAGAAAGACACCAAGTTGGCTGGGGAGCGAGAGTGAGGAAGAAAGGAGGCGAGCGGTCTATAAACCACTGGTGAAGCCATTCGCCAATTCAACCCCCACCCCGAAATCCAAGCTGACAGTGGAGCCCTACCTTGCAAAGCCTGCTCTCGCCCCAGGAGACCGCTGGGAGGCCCCGTGGGAGCTCAACTCAACTAGACTGGGCCTCTTTAACCTGCAGGAAAGGACTGGCAGACACTCTTCCTCAGTGAAGGAAGGAGCAGGAAGCCCCCGAGTCTGGCCTAAATTCCAGATGGGATAGGCTGGAGAAAAATTCAAAAAGGAAGTCCTTTGCGAAATGGACAAGCTCTGTTCTGACCCAGTGGCTTTTATTTTGTGCCCTCTCTCCCTTACCCAGGGCCGGCAGGAGGCTGAACTGTAGGAGTCTGGTCACTCATTGACAGGGCTAGCATTAGTGTGTGTGTGTGTGTGTGGTGGGGGCGCAGCTGGCTATTGAAGGAGGGACAGCCAAGCAGTGGACAAGAGGGAGGAGAGAATCCCACCTGCCACCTACTCCAGCTAACAGAGGTGAGACATAAACTGTGGGCATCAGGAAGCCCCAAGGTGTGTGTGTCCGCCTCTTTCTACCCTTGCGTTATTTGAGGCTCATGGAGCAATTTCAACTGTAGAACCTTCTTGAGGCACACCACAACAGTAACTTTCAGGCTGTTCTAGCGTCTTTGAGCAAAAAAAATAGAAAACAAAACAAAATTATCTTGTCCCATATGTGAAGACCTAGCATTTGGAGCGGGGGGGGGGGGGGGGGCTCAGATGGGGTATCTTGAACTCTTCATGCTTTTTCTTAACCTCCTGCCACTGTTTACTGACATGATCAGGACTGTCAAGCAATAATTAAACCTGCCGGAAGCAGATGATGCTGAGGCAGGGGTTTAAAAACACCTAACTTTTTCGTGTCCTTGCAATGCAGAGACCAGCTGACCCCATGATCAAGGTTCTGTAAAATTTGTCCTATCTCCTGCCATGTCCAGCCTCCATGTTCCCACAGTTACGGCACTCAGGGGACTCAAGACCTCCCGCCCCCGCCCCTCCACGCTCATCCCACTCCACATCTGGAGCCCATCAAAAAGCTCAGTGCTCTCTCTCACAGTTATGCAAGAGGTCGAGCAGCTGGGAGCTCAGAAAAGGGGGAGGAGGAGAAGAAAGAAGAAAACAGCTTTCCAAGCATGCTTCAGACTTTCCGAAATGGGGGGGGGGGGGGGCAGAGGCTGGGAGTGGAAGAAAGGGTGAGTTCTGCAAAGCCTTTTGCACTTGCCTGTGACTGTCGGGAGTGGATTTCCACACCCCTCCTGTTTTAACCTTGGCACGTTTCCCATTTTGTCCCTCCTCTCAAATTGTGCTTGCTCCCTCTGCCTCCGGAAGAGGGTAAAAGTCACTCATGTGGCCCGAGGCTTCTGCAGTCTACTCCCTTTCCCAGAAAGCTATCCCTCTTGTTCCACAGTTTCCTCAAGATTGAAACATTCTTTCCTTCAGGGAAGTTCCTTAAGCAGGAAGGCAAACAACTCAAAATAGCTTCAGGAAGTCCCTGAAACTGACCAGATTCTGTAGGCCCCTCCCTGCCAGAGTAAATAAAAGCCGAGAGGTCCTTCTCCACCAAGCTGAGCTGCAGAGAAGACTCCGGAGACCAGACCAGCTGCCTGGAAGAGCTTTTAGACCAACTGAATCACTTGGAGAAGGACATTCTCCAACCTGTTTGAGTGACCATTCAGGCTGTGCAGTGTGCCCCCAGGTCCCCAGCTTTTTTGAGCTGTCACTGTGCTGGGGTGGTGGCCTTGTGATGCAGCCATCTTCAAGTCATTCCTGTTTCTTGTAAGTGACCCCCAATAAAACTGATTAGTTCACCAAGTTGGACTTCGGTGGTATCTGTACTTTGGTCTGTCATGGGTTTCCCTATCTAGGGTGAGTAGATGTGTCTGTTGTTGTCTTCCCGGAGAAAAGTTTTGTCATACAAACACCTCGGTGACCACCCTTTGGGTCCTGAACATTATTGATGTAGGTGTGGTGGCACTCATGACACCAGATACCTACTCACCTACAAGCCAACTTGGTGGAAAGCATGCCCAAACTTTAACAGTGGCAAAGCAGCTCTTTGATCAGTTGGTCTTAGAAAAATTTGCACAATCCACAATTTGTATGCAAATGCAATCAAACTGTGTGGGAAATTTGGCTAGGACTAAAAAACTGGTCTTGTCTGCCTCTGTGGCTCAGGACTTGGCCTATGATCACAGGAGAACAAGGACTCAGGACTTGAGGTACAGCACAGATGAGGAGTGCATGTTGTTTGGTATGTGGGTCGTGAATTTGGTCCCCCAGCACTGAATGCACAGTTACTTGGGAAATAAAATAAGTTGTTTCTCTTGTTGCCTTGAATTTGCAAGGCCACTCTTTCAGACAGTTCCTGCTCTGGTTTGTTAATCAACCTGAGCAAATGGAGAACACCCAGGTGTTTCCCAAAATTGGATCTGGACATTTAGGGGCTATGAGGTGTTTCCAGCTGTTTGACATTTTGACACAACTTGTCATCTATAATGATCACACTCAAGACCCATGTAATTGAGTTAAAAGGGTGTATGTGGGGGCCTTGGAGAGATGGCTCAGCTGTTTAAGAGCACTGGCTGCTCTTCTAAAGGACCTGGGTTTAATTCCCAGCATCCACATGGTGGTTCACAACTGTCTGTAACTCTAGTATCAGGGAATACAATGTCCTTCTATGGGCCCTGCTGGTAACAGGCATGAACATGGTACACATATATACAGGTAGGGCCAAAACACTCATACACGTAAAATAATAATTTAAAAAAATTAAAGCAGTATGAGACAATAAAAATCATTTTTAAAAACAAAGAGGGAGCTAGAAAGATGGCTCAGTTAACTAACTGCTCAAGAGGCCCCTGAATTCAGTTCCCAGCACCCAAATCAAGTGACTTACAAACCCCTGTACCCTAACACCAGGAAATCTGATGCCTCTGGCCTTTGCCAGCATCTGCATTTGTGTGCACCTACCCATACACAGGCATATACACAATACACATTATTGAAAACTATTAAAATAAAAATTAAAAGCCCATCAAAACAGCAAAAAAACATTCATATTTTGAGTAAGTTTATGGTTTTTGTTGAGTTACATAGCTATCCTCAGTCATCCAATCACTTAGTCCCTGCCCAGTGAGTAGCAAGGTAAAAGACTTTCCCTTTTTGGTAGGGGATAGGATGCTTCTAAAACTTCAAGGTAGTGCCAGGCAGTGGTGGCGCACGCCTTTGATCTCAGTACTCAGGAGGGCAGAGCCAGGCTGATCTCTATGAGTTCGAGGCCAGCCTGGTCTACAGAGCAAAATCCAGGGCAGGCACCAAAACTACATGGAGAAACGCTGTCTTGAAAAACCAAAAAAAAATAAAAATAAAAAATTTGAGGTATCTTGACTTCTGTTTGTGAGCAGGAAAAGCCTAGTTGGGCAAGGTGTCTGGCTTTCATAAAGGCTTGCTTTGTGTCAATCACAAACTCCCCGGTACAAAATGAGACATACGCTAGGGATTCTCTCCATCTTTGGGTAACAGCAATGCACACCAACAACGATGTAGATTTTCCACATATTGCCTTGAAGAAGTCCCAGAGATACAAGTGTGTTTACAAAAGGGTGCAAAGGAAGGAAGGGGGGGGGCATGGTTGTGAGGAAGTGAGGGACTCACTGCTAAGGCTTTGTTTCTCAGAAGTCTACTAGGCAGGAAACCCTACACCAGCCTTTTCTTCCTTCTTTCTCTCTCTCTCTCTCTCTCTCTCTCTCTCTCTCTCTCTCTCTCTCTCTCTCTTTCCTTCTGGCCTGGAACTCACAGAAATCTACCTGCCTCAGCTTCCCAAGAACCAGGATTTAAAGATGTGCACCGAGAGTGTGCCTGGTGCCCACTGGGACCAGAAGAGGGCACTAGATGCCCTGGAACTGGACTTGTGGTTGAACTGTTGTGGAATATTATTTTAACTGGGCAAAGCTGTGTTACATTTGTTTATGCTGAGAAATAACTACTTTAACTGTGTAAAGGTGTGTTACATTTGTTTATACTGCATTTGTTTAATTATGTAAAGGTGTGTGGCATTTGTTTCACCTTGCCTGCCCAAGGCACCTGATTGGTCTAATAAAAAGCTGAACGGCCAATAGCTGTGCAGGAGAGGGGTAATAAAAAGCTGAACGGCCAATAGCTGTGCAGGAGAGGGGTAATAAAAAGCTGAACGGCCAATAGCTGTGCAGGAGAGGGGTAGGTGGGGCTGGCAGGCAGAATGAATAAATAGGAGAAATCTAGGAGAGAGAGAGAGGGGGGGAGGGGGAGGGGGAGGGGGGAGGAGGAGGGGGAGGGGGGGGAGGAGGAGGGGGGGAGGGGGGAGGAGGAGGGGGGAGAGGAGAGGAGGAGGGGGGAGAGGAGGAGGAGGGGGGAGAGGAGGAGAGGAGGGAGGGAGAGAGGGAGAGAGAGAGGGAGAGAGGGAGAGAAGAGGAGCATGAGGAGAAGAAAAGGGACATGCCTGGTGCCAGAAGCCAGGCATTCGCCAGTGCCAGGCATTCGCCAGTGCCAGGCATTCGCCAGTAAGACATGAGAAACAGTGAAGGTAAGATATACAGAAAGAAAAGTAAAAAGCCCCAAGGCAAAAGGTAGATAAAGAGAAAAAAAAAAAAATCCTGGTCCAGTAAACCACAATATGGTTCCTGGGAGCCAAACCTAGATCCTCTGCAAGAGCATCAAGTGCTCTTAACCATTGAGCCACATTCCAGCCTCTAGATGTAAAGTTTAAACTATTTAGCCGGGCTTAGTGGTGCACACCTTTAATTCCAGCGCTCGGAAGGCATAGGCAGGCAGATCTCTGAATTCTAGGCCAGCCTGGTCTACAAAGCAAGTTCCAGGACAGCCAGAGCTGTTATACAGAGATACCCTGTCTTGACACACTTCCCCCGCCCCTGCCCCCGCCCCCCTCAAGCTATTTAGAGCTGGGCAAATTGATGCACTGGAAGGTAGAGGTATTAGGAGTTCCAGGTTAGCTTGGACTACAATGTGAGACACTATCTCAAAAATAATAATAATAAAAAATAAAAAGCAAAAACCAAATTAAGGTATGGTGTTAGCTCAGTGGATAAAGGTGCCTGCCACTAAGTTTGGGGACCTGAGTTTAATCCCTGGAACTTTTAAAGTTGCCTTTTGGCCTCCACACATGTACTGTGGCACAAATGTGCCCTGGCCCCACCTAAGTAAAATAGAATAAAAATTTTAAATTGAAATTAAAAGGGAGTGGTGACTGCAGAGATATTTCAGTTGGCAAAGTGCTTGCCACACACGCCTAAGGACCCGAGTTCAATCCCCAGTACCCTTGTCAAACCCGGGTTACTTTAACCTATCCTTGTAATCCCCGTGCGGGGAGGTGAGATAGGCAGATTCATGGCTCATGAACAAGGTGGATGGCTCATGAACAACACCTAAAGTTACCTCTGGCCTCTACATGCACACACACATTGCACCCACCCAAACATACATTATCTGTTTTATATTAATCTTAGGAATCTCTCTGGTCCTACCAGTTGTGAACAACTTCAAATTGGAGGGTAGTTTCCTTTGCCAAAGCTGTATGAATTGATAGATTTGAGCTTCTAGCTACTGTTCCAAAGGCGTATTCTGTGCCTTCTCTACATGGGATTAACTAATCTAGGGTAGGAGCTACAGGCCTCCTGCATGAACCAGAACGGTCAGTCAAATCTTTAGTCAGATCTAGTACTGTTGCTAACTTCCCTCAGAAGAGGCCAACAAAGTCCACTGGATGCCACAGGTTTACTGGCCAGTCAGGGCACGTGGCATGAACTGGGTCTTCATTTCATTAAATTAATTTTTTTTTTTTTTTGTTTTTCGAGACAGGGTTTCTCTGTGTAGCTTTGCGCCTTTCCTGGAACTCACTTGGTAGCCCAGGCTGGCCTCGAACTCACAGAGATCCGCCTGGCTCTGCCTCCCGAGTGCTGGGATTAAAGGCGTGCGCCACCACCGCCTGGCCATTTCATTAAATTAAGATTACAGTCCAGAGCTGGGTGGTGGTGGCACACGCCTTTTATCCCAGCACTTGGGAGGCAGAGGCCAGCCTGGTCTACAGAGTAAGTTCTAGGAAAGGTGCAAAGCTACACAGAGAAACCCTGTCTCAAAAAAACCAAAAAAAAGATTACAGTCCAGGGAGGCAAGTTTAGCACTGTTAGATCAGGTAATACTTCATTAAAAAAAATTAAAAATTTTAAGCCTCCATCACAAAAATACTGTCATCCCTGACACTTAACTATTTATTAGGGAGGAGAATCTGCCTTCTGAACAATCTGTTCACATTCAATAGATTTTTCCAAATAAAACACAGTAAAGAAGCCTTATTTGAGAAAAGGTCTCACTATGTTGTCCTGGCTGGCCTGAAACTCATTATGTAGACCAGGCTGGCTTCAAACTCAGAGCTCCTAATGCCTCTGCCTCCGAAGTGCTAAGATTAAAGGCACACACCATGTCTAGCAAGAAGCCTTTTGAAGGAATAACCCATTTCTAAAACATCCCTAATGTCTTCCTGGTTCATTTATTCATCACTGTTTGACAAGGGGGAAGGCTCCAGAGTACTGCAGAATGTTTAAGAACTCTTCAATTAGCTGAGTGTGGTGGCCCATGCCTTTAACCCCAGCACTTGGGAGGC